TGACCTGAAGTAGATAACTAGGCCTTTCTTCCAAGGTACTTAGACAAGCACTTAACTGCTTGCACCATTCTAGGGAATGGAACTTATCTCCCTTAATTTTTCTGATTGGTATCATTTTTTTCTTGGAAGGAAAAACAACAAAAAACTGCAGTGAGATTCCTAGCCTTTCATTTCATTCAATGTAAGAACAAGTTACTTCAGTCCCCACTGAATACTTTTGCCTGTTAGATTTTGAGGTGCTATTTCCATCTCCCTCTAGGTTGAAGGGAGTAGTCTGGATAACATCAAAACTTTGTGTTGTTTACCACGAACTGTTTTGTTTATGTTCACATGTGTATTTGTGGTTAAGTTTGGAATGGCTGTTTTTGATTTTGACATTGTTATTTTTTTAATGGTATTCTAATACTCAATCCTAGTGTTAACATTTGGCTTGTTTGGCTGAGAGTGAGTAATAGGTGGGTCTGTTGTTTGGCCCCAACAGCATCTTAGTCCTCTGGAATGGTAATTTTCAAAAGGATATTTGTTGGAGAGAATGAATTCCAAATCTCTCCCTGCTTCATTTAAACTTGGCACATTCTAGGGTAGAAACCCATGTATGTCGTGATCTGCCTATCAGGAAGGATTTTTACTTGGGAATTCTAGACTCCACACGGATGTGAGTTTTTGCTGGCTGTAGCAAAAGTGACCCTCCACCCCTACCCCTGTCATTGAAATTCTACAAATGTCTCCACAGGAGCTTGATGGCACACACCTCTCGGCTCCTGTTGTGCCTTAATGTCCACATACTTCGGGGTGGTGTAGTCTGGGTTCCAGCCTCTTGGGCTTGGTGTCAGCCTGTAGCACCAAGCTTCATTTGAGAAGGAGGAGATGAGAGACACAATTCATCTTGTATCGTGCTGGTGAAGTCATCATGTTTTTGCAGCCAGTGCCAAAAGCAGGGCCACAATGAGGGTGATTCAGGCCTTGATTTCTCACCCAAGCTAATTTTGAAAGGTGTGAAGTCAAGAAAGACCTACAGTTGCCACTGCCCCATAGAAAAAACCCACGTGAGTGTTGAGCTTCTGCTGCCAAGGTAGGGCTTAGTCCATACCATGGAACATTCCAGCCTTGAACTTGATGTTCTTCACTTCTCTCAGTAATGAATAACCTCATTCAGAAAACACTGTCCATCAGTGGCTCAACTTGGAAAGGCTGTCTGGTTTTTTATCTTGGTCATTTTAGCCATGTTTTTAGAAAGGAGAAAAAGTTAACTGCTTTCTGAAGTTTCTATCTTAATAAAAACCCATATACCAAAAAAAAAAAAAAAAGTGGATAGGGTAATAATTTCTTAGAGTAGTAATGGACAGTTTTCTATTTGGGAGGAAGTAAGCAGGGAAGCTTTAGTCCTGGTGTGGTGCTGTGGGCTAATGCTTCAGACTGCAAAGGCATTTGAACTTCAAGGTCGGTGGTTTAAGCCTACCATCTGCTCCTTGGAAATCCTATACAGGGTCGCCATGGTTCAGAATTGACTCGACAGCACTTTACAACAACAACAAGCAGGGAAGGTTAGCTCTTAGGGATCCACAAGATATTTGAAACACAATTCCCACGTAAACGACTATCCTAGAAGTCTATACCTTTGTCTGTTTTGAATATTAGGAATGAAAGGTTTATATATGTGCTGGATTCAGAACGGGTGTTTGCTATGAGCCCCTTTTCAGAGTAGGAGGAGAGTGCTGGCTGATCTCAGGGAAGCTGTGCTCCCAGCTCCCAGCTTTGTACTGAACTCAAGCTGTGACTATAAGGAAGTAGCTTAGCTGATCAGCTCTCCATTTCCACATCATTAAACTAGAGAAGATATATAAACAGCTTTGTGAGGCTGGTATGGCGCTGTAGGATAAACAATGGACTGCTAACCCCGAGGTCAGCCGTTCAAACCAACCAACTACTCCTTGGAAACCCTATACACAGGGTATTTGTGTGTTGGAACTGACTCAGTGGCACTCGACAAAACAAAGGATAAGAAGTACCATGGAGGGTAGAACCCCTATCAGTGCTGGAAACATAGTGAGCAACTTAATACAGTGTAACAGTTGTTTGCATTCATTATTTTTATTCAAACTCCACAGCATTTTTCAGAGTGCTTATGACTTTGTATAAAATTCACTTAGACTCACTAAATGAATTTGAAAACTGCAAAGAAAAAACTCATCAAATTGATAGAGAAATTAAAAAGGAGACCTCATTTTAAAAATTGTAAAAGAGCTGATTATTTGCTGTGGAGATGAGAAGGCTGGCAGCAAGACTGACTGTCTTCAAGTGTTTGAGGTATCATCATATGGAAAATTATACCTAGTTGTTCTCCATCTCCACTGGCATCTGACAGAACCAGGACAGACAGGAGAAGCCAGTGCCAGAGAACAAACGTGGAAGTTGTAGAGATTACTTGGTAGAAATCAGGCCCATGTCTAACAAAGGGTGCAGTCTCTAGGAAGGTGCTAGAAAAGTTCACGTTAACACTTTCACAAACTCTCAATCTGTCAAGGCATAGCCGTTACTATGGGGAGGTCCCCGGCTTGTACACAGGTACCAGCCTGCTCACAAGCAACTTTCATGCATGCTAGAGTTCATGCCTGGCATAAACGCGTTCAGACCAGTTATTCTCAACATTTGGAGGAGGGTGTGATTTTTCCAGACGCTAGAGATGCTGATAATTATCCCACAATGCACAGGGAAGCCTTCCACAGCAAAGAATGATCAACCTCCAGTGCCTTAGTGCTACTGTTGGGAAACCCTTGCTTGGAGGAATAGCATATCCAGCATGGGCTTCTTACTACTCTAATTTCAGCCAAAGCATTTTGTCATCTATTTACACCAAACCATGAAACTGAATGGTTAGAAGACTCTTAAACATTTGCTGTTCTAAGAAAATGTGTAGATTACATTATAATCATGCGCTTTTAAGCTGTCTGCTATACATTGGTTTAAAAATATTTATATTTCTAAATAAGCGACTGGCTCTTTGTATAGGGAAAATAACATATGTCTCCAAGCTCCCTGGAGCATGTTGCCGACACCACCTTCTACCCTTTCTCTGCACTTTGTCGGCCAAATAATCACTGCAGTCGAGGACTCCCAAGGCAGTGACTGCCCTGTAGGTCAGATGTGGTAGTTGAGACTAAGGCACGACATTGGGTGGGAGACATTCCCCAAGGACCAAACACAAGCCAACAACAGAGGGAGGATTCACCGATGAGTGAGTCAGACTCATAGGTGTATACACTACTAGCACCTTGGAAATACCGCTATAAATTGCCTGAGAATAAATTGTGGTTTCTGTACTTAATAATACATTTCTGTTTCTAAGTAATATAAATATGTGTGTGTGTCCATTTGTAAACTTTCAGAGCCTCCAGAAACCTAGACACCACATGAAAATGCATGCTATATTTGATCCTTGCATAAATAGCACAGATTTTAATTTTATCCCAGTTCTGGATATCTGGCGCGGGTGCCGATACTCTGGGCAGACTGGTGTGAAATTTAATTTGAGCAGTTAAACACAAGGGTGAGGGAGTGCAAAATAAACAAGCGCACACATTTTCAGCCCTCCAGCATTTGGTATGCTAACAGGAAGAACACCCAAATCCTCTCTCTTTCATTTTTTCCGCTTCTGACAATCAGATTACAGATTGTCTGAGAAGACAGTCTCCAGAATCCTCCATCTCTCCCATCCCCCTTCCACGTCCCCCTGAGTGTTCTCTGCAGCCTTTTCATGTGTGGGCTCTTCAGACTTGTTGGAGGTGGAGTTTTAGTGAATGAAAGTGTATAGATTTCTTTGTTTTCAGATTTGGTGTTAGATTAGAGATCCCCTTTCTGCCTGGTCAGGGGAACATTCTTCCTCAGAACATCTTGAAAGGATAAACGGTGATGGAATTGAAAATAGTGGAAAGTGGTAGATTTACAGAGTCCGTGGGTGGTTTCAGTGGCTGATGTACTCAGCTGCTAACCAAAAGATTGGCAGTTTGAGTCCACTCACAGGCCCTTTGGAAACAAGGCCTGGTAATTGACTTTTGCAAAATAAGCCATTGAAAACCCCCTGGAGCACAGTTCTTTTCTGGGAAACTTGGGGTCACTGAGTCACAAGTGTCTCTAGGAGGGAAACACTGGCAGGAGAAAATGTGGATTTACAATTAGAGATGCAGTCTGGTCTCAGCTTTGCCAGTTACAATGTCTATGACCTTTGGAGAGTTTCCTAAGGGTTCTGTTCCTCCATTTACTGCTTTGTAAAATGGGAATCGCTCCTTCCTCATAGAGTTGGCAGGATGGTGCCAGCACAGTGGTGGCACATAGGTGACATGTTAATGTCAGAATCCTTCCCCTTCCCCTTAGCCCAGTGTAACTAATGCTTGCTAGGGAGTAGGGCTGCAAATGGCTATTGTCAATAATAAGGAATGTTAGTAAAAGTAGCAATCACATCGCTTCCTTTTCCCTGCTTTAATTATCCCTATTCAGGAGTCCCTAGGTGGTGCAAATGATTCACTTGAGTGATTGCCTACCAAAGGGTTGAGGCACCTTGGAAGAAAGATCTGGCAATCTTCTACTGAAAAAGTAGCCATTGAAAACCTTATGGCGCCCACTTCAGCTCTGACACAAATGGGCTCGGGCTCACCATAAGTCGAAATTGATTCAACAGCAACTGTTTTTTTGTATTGTTTTGTTGTGCTTCATTCAGGACTTAAGCAAGAATCTGCCAGCCCACCCCACCTCTATCCCTAGGTTCTTCTAGATATTAAACACACCAAGAGTGCTTATCTTAAAAATAGCCTACTTGTACCAGAGGAGTAAGTTGGTTTGGAAGTATGCGAAGGGGCAATGTTTGCATGTGTGTAGCTCAAGAAGCTGGACTTGTGAGAAGTAGCAAAATTGGATATGTGAATTTCTTCTTATCGTCCAAAGAAAGACCATCTGCATACCATAAGTAAAAAATTCCCATCTTTCCGTTCAATTTGTTTCCACAGAAGAGCGAGTTGTCCCCATTGAAGTGTGCCGTTCCAAACTGTCAAAATACTTGCAGGGAGTAGTTTTCCGCTGTGATAAGTGTACCTTCACCTGCTCCAGTGACGAGAGCCTCCAGCAACACATAGAAAAGCACAATGAACTGAAACCTTACAAATGCCAACTCTGCTATTATGAGACCAAGCACACGGAGGAACTGGACAGCCACCTTCGAGATGAGCATAAGGTACTGGCCCGGGACTGCCTGCCTCCCACTCTCAGCATCCCTGTGGGAGGGGCCAGGTGGGGAGAGAGCCTGACTGTAGTCACAGAGATGGTGTCCAAGAAAGAGATGAACTAAGTTAATTTTCAAAGTGGAGTTGAGTTCTTTTATAAAAGAAATTTAAGGTCATTGTAGGAATTGGGGGGAAAAAAGACAGGGAACATGAAAACCACCCATAATTTTTTCATCCAGATCCAACTCCTTTTGGTCCTCTTCTTGTCCATTGATCTTTATTTTATGCAGTTGTGATTATACAGTATGTAAATCATTATTTATACCTTGCCTTTTTTCTTTTCTTCACTCAACTCCTAATGAGTATGTTTTCTTCACATTTTAAATGTGTTATCACGAGGATTGGCAAACTTTTTTTATTAAGGGTCAAATAGTGAACTTTCTAGGCTTTGCAGGCCATGTGTCTACTCAACTCTACCACTGTACAGGAAAGCAGCCACAGGTAATGCGTACATGACAGGGAAAGGCTGTGTTCCAATAAAACTTTATTTATAAAATTTCAATGGAAATGGGCCCTGGGTCCATAGTATGCCTGCCTCTATTCTATCAGATTGGGGTTTTGGTATGGCGCTATAAGGTACGCACTGGACTGCTAACCACAAGGTTGGCGGTTCAAACTCAACAGCCACTTCTTGGAAACCCTATACAGGGTCGGTATCAGTGAGAACTGACTTGACGGCACTTAACAACAGCAATAACTTTCTATCAGATTGGTGTGCCCTTTAGTCCTTCAACCATGTAGGCTGTTTCCAATACCTCACTAACTGCAAAGATTTTCGGAGGCATCCCTGTGAGTGTCTGCATGCTATAAAGATTGTACAATGTGCTGTTTTATTTGAGGAGAGAGAAAATCATAAAAGATGGCTTCTTCACTCTGCACCAAACTTGTGGTGTACAACATGGGCTGGGACCCATGTCTTCTCTGGTTCTGCGCACTACCCAGAGTGTGGTAGAAGTCCTGATGAATATTTAGTTCATGAGAAGAACGTATTGAAATGTTTTTTAATTAACCAACAGATCTAAACCCTCTGTTTTGAGTTTATTTAAAGCATAATAAGAGGCACTTTTGACAGTGTTCTCTTCTTTTGTATTTTCATCAGTGGAAGCACAAGTCTTTTCCTGGCCTGATGGATATCACTCTGGTTATAAAGACTTTAGTCTGAATCACCTGCATCCAGGAGTTAGAATTTTTCTGTACTGTAAAGAGAGATAAGATAATGTTTTTATCAACTGGAATTTAATGGTTTTATTGTGACTTTTTTGCTTTGGAATTCATTCATTTTCTAATATATCTGTCCAAAAGTGAAAGCATAGAGGAAAAGCCTGAATTAGCGTTACGTAACAACTTTAATATATTTTCTCATGCAAACATTTTGGACACTTTTCCCCAAAACTCAGGGAAAAAAAAAAATCATTCATGTACTTCAAACCAAGCATTCCACAGTTACTCGCATATATGTTTACTTAGCCACTTCAGACCCTTTTATGATACTGTTGCAGCCTTCATCCTGATATTTTGGGAAAGAACAAATCAGGAAGATAAATTCTTCCCTGGTAGCTGCATCTTAACTTGCAAGTTACAGGGGAAAAGCAGGGAAAAGAGAGAATGTTAGAAACTATACCAGATGTGCGACTGGACACATTTTGACTGAGACTTTGGGATTTGGACCAGGAAAATAGACTGTTCAGAAATAATAATAATAAGTGCCAAATTTAAAGCTTTGGAAGCAAGCACGCCTGGGTTTGAATCTTGTTTCCACCAATTTTTTGTACCGATCTGCAGCAAGTTATTGAAATTTATATGCATTTTTTCTGATTTATAAATGAGAATTGTCATCCGTTCCATGGATGTTGTGTAAGGATTAGATTAAGTCACTTTGCAGTTTGGATTAGATTAAGTCACTTTGCAGTTTGATGTGTTCCTCAAAATATTGGTGAAATTCCGTTTTGCTCAAGTATAATAATAGTTGTATATAAGGGCAGTTATGTTCCTGAAGACCAAAATATTATAAAATCCCTAATTACAGTTTGCATTTTCAACATTGTCTTTAATGTTCCGTATTTCCACTATGTCATGTTCTCACATTTATTCTTTCTTATGGTTGACTGCCTTATTAAGTCCAGTGAGTACCTAATTGAGGCTAAATAATTGCCACTCAGCACGCCTAATGGTTTTCATCTTTGTCTCGATTGTGGCTAAGTGTAGGAGACCTATGCTTATTACAAGAGTCTTGGTTGCACACTGGTTAAGGTCTTGACTGCTAACTGGAAGGTCGGTGGTTCTATGAAGATTTAAAGCTTTGGAGGCAATTCTCCTCTGCCCTATGGTTGGAATTGTCTCAACAACAATGAGTTTGGTTTGAGAGATGCTTATTGCTACTGATAACCTTGTTAACCACTGTTGAATCATTCTGACTCATGGCAACCCTGTATAGGGTCTGAGGCTGTAGGGAGCAGAAAACCTTGTGTTTCCCACAGAGCAGCTGGTGGGCTAGAACTTCCAACCTTGTGATTCGCAGTCTAGTGCTTATCCTGTGGAGCCACCATGCTCCATACCAATAGCAGCATGTTCTGTTCCCTATTTTCTATTCCTTTTATTCCTAAATGATGATGTCAAAGTGCAATCTTTTAAAAATAATTTTTAGAAAAAATTTTAAGTAATTATCCAAATACTATTTTATAAAAGATGGTTGTGTTGCGGACGTGCTGAATTTTCAGCTGATAGACCGTGAGTGGCATTATATGGTGGCTAAAAGTGGTCATTCTTCAGGGTGAAGGACATACAAACGTCTGAATTCAGCCTTCATGAAAAAAGATTGTTATTGTACAATGTAGTAAGGAAGTTAGTTAATAATTCAAACACCAAAGTCAGGAGACACAAACAAAAATTAAAGGCGTAGGGATCAGGAAGGAAGGAGTAGAGTCGTCTTTATTCACAGATGACTAATCTTCATAGATCGAAAATTCAAACAAATCCACAAAAAAACTACCAGAACATGAGAGAGTTTAGCACAGTTACAGGATATAAGACCAATGTACAAAAATCAATTATTTTTAAGTGCCATCGAGTTGGTTCCAACTCGTTGTTGTTGTTGTTAGGTGCCACGGAATTGGTACCAACTCACAGCGACTCTATGCACAACAGAACAAAACAGTGCCCTGTCCTGTGCCAACCTCACAATTATTGCTACTCCTGAGTCCATTACTGCTACCCCTTTGCTAATCCATCTCATTGGTGGTCTTCCTCTTTTTCTCCAACTTTCCACTTTACCAAACATGATATCCGTACTTATCCAGGGTCTGGCACCTCCTGACAATATGTCTGAAATATGAGAGGCGAATTCCGGCCATCCTGGCTTCTAAGGATCATTCTGGTCATACTTCTTCCAACATAGATCTGTTTGTTCTTTTGGCACTCCATGGTACTTTCAAAAATTCTCCTCCAACACCATAATTCAAATGAATCAAGCCGTCCACGATCTTTATTATTCACTGTCCAACTTTCACATGCATATAAGGTTATTGAAAATACCATTGAGTCCTTAAACTCTGACATCTTTGCCTCTCAACATTTTAAAGAGGTCTTGTGCAGCCGATTTGCTTAATGCAGCATATCGTTTGATTTCTTGACTGCTGCTTCCATGCTCCATTTATATGGATTTTGTTTGTTGGTGAGGATTTTTGTGTTCCTTACATAGAAATGTAACCCGTAGTGAAGGCTGTGGTCTTCGGTCTTCATCAGCAAGTATTTTAAGAATAAATTTGGCTTAAATACTGCAAGAATTGTGGGGAGCACCATGGCTTCATAGAATAAGCATTGGACTTCAAACCACTGAGTCCATGATTCAATTCCATCAGCCACTCCATGAGAGAAAGATGAGATTTTCTGCTCTTGTAAAGGTTTAAATTCTCAGAACCCCTATACAGGATTGTTTTGAGTCAGAACCAACTCATTTAGCAACCAGAATAAGTGAAGAACTGTACACAAAAAACCAAACAATGTTGCTGAGAGTATTTAAAGAAGAGCTAAGTAAATGCAGCGCAGACCATGTTCCTGGATTTTTTACGACTCAATGTTGTTAAAATGATCATTCTTCATTAATTGATATTACAAATTCAGCATAATCTCCATCAAAATCCCAGTGAGTTGTTGTTTTTTTAATTGTTGTCTTTTAGTAGAAGCTGACAAACTCATTCTAAAATTCACATGTAAATGCAAAGTTCCTGCCAAGAATAACAATGTGGAATAATAAAAGCAAAGTTGATTTCAGACATTACTATAAAACTATAGCGTGTGATATTAGCATAAGGATAGCTGCATAGCTCAGTGGCACCAAGATAATCCAGAAAGAGACTTGTATGTATCTGAGTATTAGTCTCAGTTGGATTTCATCAGAGGTGCCAAAGTAATAGCCGATTCATTTGCATATTGTTTTTTAAAATGTAGTGTTGAAACAATTAAATTTCCATGTTCAAGTTAATAATCCTTAATCCTAACTTCACTCCCTATACAAAAACTCACTGAAAATGAACTATCAATCTAAATGTATAAGCTAAAATGATTCCATTTTTGTAATAGTAGAAGACAATGTAGTCTTGAGCTAAGGAAGATTTCTTAGATATGACACAACAGCTACATATATTTAAAAAGTTGATGAGTCGTATGTTATCAAAATGTAAAACTTTTGCTCTTTTAGAAAAGGAAAAGACAAGCAATAGACTGGAAGTATGTTTGCACAGCAAATATTTAATGAAGACTCTATTGGCAAGAATGTATTGAGAATATTTACAACACTAAGACGACAACAACCCATGTAAAAATGAGCAAAATATTAAAATGGACACTCTGCCAACAGTAAAATACAAACAACAAATGAACCTGTGGAAAGATATACAACGTGATTGATCATTGTTGTTTACTGCCGTCGAGTCAGTTCTAAATCCCAGTGACC